TTGTGTTCCTGTGTAAATGTTAGTTTTTAAATGATTTTGATTTAATTGCAATTTTAAGGGGGAGGTTATATGATTGTTATAAAATGTGGGCTGTACTTTTACTGTAAGCTGCCTTGATAGCTTCGGCTAAAGCTGGGGTATAAATAAAATTTTATTATATTATTATTTATTATTATGTCAGGGCCATTGATTGAATCAATCTATCTGTAATGTGATCTACTTTTTTCCTAATGTCTTCCAATTTAACCAGCATTACCATATTTTCAAATAATCATGTCATCTCATGTAATGTTCGTAGTATGATAACATTAGTTTAGTCATTTTGTTTTCTCATATGATTCAGGGTTGACTTGCTCTTGGATCTATAGAACTCTCTTCCAGCTGTTTTTGTTGTTGTTTGTGCCTTCAAGTCATTTCCGACTTATGGTGACTCTAAGGCTTTTCATATCATGGGCTTTTCTTGGTAAGATTGCATCAGAGGAGATTTGCCATTGCCTTCCCCTGAGGCTGAGAGTATGTGACTTGCCTATGTCACCCAGTAGGTTTCATGGCCAAACAGGGAATTGAACCCTGGTCTTCAGAGTCTTAATCCAACACTCAAACCACTAGGACATAATGGATCACTCTCCTCCAACACCATTTATTTCGTATAAGTTGATTCTCTTCCTGTTTCTTAAGTTCAGTTTTCATAGCAATACATAGAAGTCCAAAATGTTATGGCATAGATGATTCTGAATTTTACAGATAGGCAGACTAGAGCCTGGGGAAAATAATACACTACCTATTGACTATATTTTAAGGTGGGTACTTAGTTGCCACTTCTAAAAGGTTATAGCATATTCAGCCCAAACTATAGGAAGTTAATGGCTGTGCTTCTAGGTTTCATTAAGGAGCTTCTACCATTCTTCTGACTTAAATATCGTAAAGGCACCAGATCTCTTTTAATCTTGGAATCTAAGCAGGGTCAGCCCTGGCTAGTACTTGGATGGGAGGCCACCAGGGAACACCAATGGCTGTAGTCTATATTTCAGAAGAAGGAACAGGCAAAACAATCTCTGAGTATTCTTTGCCTTTAAAAAAAACCCTATTAAATTCATGAGGTTGCCATAAGTGAACAGGTGACTTGCACATATGCATACACACACTATTCTTCTTCTAGTTGCCTCATATAATTTCATTTAGGTAAATGGAAGATTTGGGAAATGTGGGAGAAGAAAGAACTGAATTATGAATAGTTAAGAAGATGCTGTTTGATTGACCAGGCAAGAACAGAAGAACAGGACTGAAGTATTTATGCTAGGACTGCCCAATACAGAAGTATCATATTGCCTACCAACCATAGTGGCTGATATTTCATACCTCTGTCTCTTTCACTCCTTCAAGAGGGATCTCAGCAATCTGAACACAAAGACCAAGCTAGTTCCCAGGTGAGCTTCAGGTGTTTGAAGCTGTGGAGCATTGTCTACTGCTGAGGGGGGCAATGCTGAAACTTCCAGAGGGCCCATTCTAACTGCCATGCCAGACTCTGTATGGAAGACCCCCCTTTTTTATTACATTGGATCTTTTGGAATTATAGTGGCAGTATCTCCCCCTTTGTTATTACTACCAGTTTACTTAGGGTATGGAGACCTCCTAGCTGGTTGAGGTGAAAATATGTAACTATTTGTAAAGTACCACCTAAAGGGCAGTCAATTTTTCCTCCTGTTGTTCTCAAGAAGAAGAAAACCAGGCATGTCTCATCAAACTTCCAGTGTATTTGGAAATCATTACACACCCTGAGTTTCTTCCTGGGATATTGCCATTAACAAGTACTGTTAAACAAGTCAATTATTCTCTCTCTCTCTCTATGAGAGAAAATTGTTCATTTTTCAACACAGTGAACACAATGCGGGAGAATTTTGCCCTAGCTGCTGCAGAATGAAGAAAAGCGTGGGTTCTTTTGTGCACTCTCCCAGTGCACTCTGACTTTGTTGCTGATTTTTGGGCAAAGGCTTGTTTGAAGCTCTGCCTGCATGGATTTGTTATGCTATCCTCGTTTGTGATGAAAATAGTTCCCTTTTCATCATTTTTAATTTCAAAGACCTGTAGGGTATGGTTCTTGGAGGCTGCACACCAGCTGAGCAATGCACGATGCCATCAGTATCTCCCTGTCAGACCTATCCTCACTAAGCTCATGCATGATGTTGTTCAAGTCTATTAACTTAGAATTTTGTAGCCTGCTTCAAATTGGCAAAATGCACCACCTTGACAAAATGCACCACCTAGGTCTACTTAACCTACCTCACAGGGTTGTGAAAATGAAATATGTCCTTGAGCTCTTGGAGAAAGGGATATATAAAGAAATAGCAAATAAATGATTTTTCTAACCCCCCCCCCCCAAAAAAATACAAGTAACCAAGAGAGAGGCCATATAGCACACACATTCTCTCAAGTAGCATCTTGCCAGGAGTCCTCCCAGAAATTGCTACTTGAAGCAACAATCTCACTTTGCTACAAAGTAGGGCTGGCCCTGGGCCTAAGGAACTGCTATAAATGCTGCTTCTCTGGAAGAGAGAGAAGTAAACCAATGGGACAACACTTGTACCACTGAAGGCTATCTGGTATGCTTGGAGAAAGCTCCACCAACTTTAGATGTTACACAAGCTGTTTTCCATCAGTGATGTGAGTGAAAACTAGACCTGTCAGAGGCATGTTGTGGGTAACTTGCTTCTGGTGGATCAAAGCTCCTTTGTTTTTTTGACATGCCCCTAGGATTACTGTTGGCATGATCTAGCCCCTCCTATTACTGTTGATGGGAGAGAGAACATGACAAGGCCACCACCACTTTTCCATCCAGATTCTGAATGGAAGGCACCACCCCTTCTAGCAACAGCCTCTGGAGGGTCTATTCAGGGTCTGGTGAGGCTGCCAACCAGATTCTGAACAGGAGGCACCCCCTTTCCAGCAACGGCTGAGGCTGATGGAGATGGTGTTGTGGCTTCTGAAGGGCCTACTCAGAGCATGACATGGCTGCTGGCTGCATAAGAAAGGGAGGCAATGACCTTTTTCAATCACCCAGCAGCTACATCAGTCCCACCAGACATATCATCCCACTGGCTGTACATCTCCCTCTGCAATGTACACCTGGGGTATTCTACACTCCTCACACCCCCTAGTGACACCTGTGCAAACACAGCAAAGGTAACAAGCAATGCTTTTTGCTCAACAAATATTTCCACTATTATTTTTTGTTGGTTGGTCTGTTATTTTGTTTTGCTTTTTCTCTAATCTTTGTGAGTCTACCAGTTCCATACTGCCAATGTTTTGAAGTCTTCTTTTAGCATCACTGAACACTGAGTTTCTTGTAAAAAATAATAATCCACAGATATGGAAGATTCAACCTGATCTAAAACAATTCACCCTTTTAAAGAGGTAGAGAAGTAACAGAGTCAGGCTGCTTGGCTTTTAAATTATTCATAGTGTATGCAATCTGAGATACATATATATTCTATTACTATATATCTGAGTACTTATTTTCTTCTCTTCACTGTCAAGCACTAACCTTTTTATGGCTTATTTTTGTAATTATATTATTATCATTTTTATTTTCATTATGGTAGACTTTATATTTTTCTTAAGCTTTTCCTCAACCTGGTGCACTCTAGACTGGACTGTAACATCCATCTCACCAGTCATTCCCAATGTTGTGTAGTGGTTTGAGCAGAACTGGACAATGGGAGTGCCTGTCCAGATGCTGTTGGAGTGGAAATCCCACCAACTCCAGCTGGGGTAGCCCAGAAGGAGGAAGGATATGGGAGTTGTAATCCAATTACATTCAAAGGGTCACAAGCTCTTCTCCTTGCCATTTAGTGCATCCACACCCCTTGATGCTATTAGGCTTCTATCCAAAGTGCTGGGTAGCACATTTTTTGTGTGTGGGGAGATACAGAATAAACAATTTCCATGTGAAGAAGGGAACTGAGGAGTGAAGCTTCACAGTCTTTTTGGCTTGGGACTCAGAGTGGTCCATGGATGTCATCTAGCCTCAGAAGATTGCTGGTAGGAGGGAATCAAGTCACTTCAGCTTCAATGCTATGCTTCCTCCTCCCTGACATAAAGAGTCTTTTCCCCACAGCCTAAATTTACCTAACTGTACCACTGATTCAGAGCCAGTGGTATGAATGTTGACTAGGACTCCAGGGAGCATTCAAACTCTTTTTTTTTTTTTTTTGTCCCAAGGAGAAGCGGTTCGCTGCACTGATGCATATCAGGTTTGTTGTTTCCATTTTGCTTTGGGTTCACAAATCTCTTTGAGTCATTGTAACCCCTTTGTTATTCCATCGTTTTAGGATGGAGCCGCTTCCCTTCTTTAGAACAATACGGAGCAATCTGTATTGATTTGGAAGTTTATTCACACTGCCAATGATGTGGATTGATGCAGATCTTTCAGGAAAAGTCAGGGAAAACCCCAGGATTGAATATCCTGGGTTAAGTGGGGTCTTTGTCAATCCCTCCCTCCCCAAAGTGCATTGAGTGCATTTGGGACATGTGTGAACAACAAGGATTCAACCCAAATTCATCCTGGATTATTTTCATAGTGTGAATAGGGCCCTGGATAACCGAGTTCATATCCCTGATTGGCCATGGAGACCCACTGGGTGAGTCTGACACAGTTGCCCTAAGAACTGGCTATTTTGGGTGCAGTTATAGCTTGATAACTGGTTGCTAGGCAACAAGCTCAGCACAGGAAGAGTGAAACCCAGCCCAATGGTGTGTGATGGGAGGGGCCTCCTGGTGTGAGAAGGATTTGTTTTAAAACAACAACAACAACAGAGAGTAAGTTTTGACAGTTAGTTGTCAGTGAAATTCCAGTCAGTGTGACTGAGACTTAGTTGTCAGAGAGATTTCAGATTGCTGAGAAGACATAGAGATAATATGTATAAAGGAAGAAAGCTAGATAAAGAGTTGTTACCAGAAATGGAGCTTTTTTCCATTCCCTTCTATGTGTGCATAGTTTTGCTATGACCCTGAAACAGAAACCTCTAGTTACCATGAACCCAAGAGTGATAGTTACGTACACCATTGAA